CTTGAAGATCTTGCGCCACTTGCAGAGCACGGCTAGTCAACGAATCGTGTTCTGGCCGTTGGATCCTTCGGTCGTCACGTTTGCTGCGGTTTCCGATGTTGGGGGGCCTGGGTCAGGTCGAAGAAATGGTGCCCAACGAGGCTGGATGGTGCTGGCAGCCGACGCTGCCATTCGTCAGAACCAGAGGGCGCGCGTTTCTTTGTTCAGTTGGCGCTCCACTCGTCTCAATCGGCTGGTGGCGTCCACGGGAGCCACCGATACTCTGTCGCTGTCGGTGGCACTGGCGGAAGCCCAGTGGATTTCTATATCGTGGACGGACCTTCTCTCTGTGTGGATGTTACGAGGCCAGACTGACACGTGTCTCAGTCTCCGTTCTCTCTCGCGTTGAGCCGTGATTGCACGCTACCCGAAGGGATGGCGCCACTCTGTCATTGATGCAACATCAATGTTTGACACGCTATCCCGCAACTCCGCTGGCTCTCGAGCAGACAGGAACAACGCCATCTAACTTGCAGTTGTGCGAGATAGTATGAGTGCGGTCGGGAGTCAGGTCAGGTGGATTCCCCGCGGTCGGATGGCAGCGGACGCGCTGACCAAGGCCGACTCCTCGCGTGGGAATCTTGCCCTCTGCGATCAGCTGTCTCGAGGAACGATCATCCTTGTGGATGAGGAGGGTCGCATGTCGGAACGTTCTCTTTTAACAATTCGTGCAAATCCAGGACTCGAAAAGCTTCCCAGGACGCGTTTCAGAAATTACAGGCAGACGAGAGTCACCTCGAGTCCGAAAACGCGGGGGTGAGGCATTCGAACTTGGCTATGTCAGACCCACTGAAAGTACTTATGCTGATGTCGTGTCCCACTCCTCCTTCCTGCTCTTTGTGTATGTCTGTCAGAGCCTGTGAGGCTTGGCTTCCGCCATGCGGCGGACTCAAGTGTTCTGGCCGGCCACTTTTCGGGCGCGCTGCTGAGATAAACTGGTGCCCGCCTCCTCTCCAGATCCTCATGTCACCAGCTTGCACGGCGTTCGACTCGTCTTCGCGCGCCCGCGTACCAACAACAATGTCTCCACCTGCCCATCCAGAACATATCGCCAAGCGAGTTGCCTGGATCTGGGAAGTGTAGAAGCATGCCGTGCAACAGCCGCCTTGGGAGTGTTTTCTCGGAGGTCGCTCGGAGCCGTCTTGGATCTCTCTTGGGGTCCTCGCGGAGCCACTTGGGGCACGTTTGGGGGCCCTTTTGGGGCCCTTTTGGGGGGTCTAGGGGGCCCACTTGGGGCGGGGGTCTGGGCTGGAGGACCTCGTGGGGCCGTTTTGGGCCCGTCATTTGGGATCTCTTGGGGCCATTTTGGGGGAGATCGATCATAGAAGGGGCAATCAATTTAGGCCTCCCCCTCGGAAGCTCCAAGATGGCCTCTTGGGTGCCTGTTGGGCCGCTCTTGGGCGCCTCTTTGGCGCCCTTGGGGCCGTCTTGGGTCCGTCTTGAGCGCCTTTGGGGCCTCTGTAGGGTTATCTTGGAGCCATCAAACCCAAGAAGCTGATCGGAAACGAAAAAATGAGAAGCAGCAGTACCGAAATGTTCCCTAAGTGTCTGAAGGATGTTGGCCTCTTGGGAGGTGCCTTGGGAGGCGGGAGTGGCACTTGGAACCCTTTTGGGGCTGTCGTGGGGCGTCTTGGGGGCTTGTCGGAGGCTATCTTGAGCGATGTTGAAGTATCTTGAGCCATCTTGGAGGCCCTTTTGGGCTCTCTTGGGCCCTCTTGGAGCCCGTCCCCCCCCGCTCCCAGGCCCAGGGGAGGGGATAGAAACCCGTCCCTCGAGCAGGGGAAGGAGGGGCTGTGGCAGGAAACTGAGCACAATTCGTGAAACCACTCAGCCCAGAGGGCTGGTGGGATTCAGCCTGGCCGAGATCAGCCGGCCGAGTTCAGCCTGGCCGAGTTCAGCGAGCCGAGGTTCGGCCTGGCCGAGTGTTTCCTGACCGAGTTTAGCTGCTGCCCCTCCGTCACCTCCTCTGTCCCGCGCGCCGTCCCATCCGCGGAGGCGTGAAGCGCCACTGGCTCGGCCCCTGCATCTGCCCCGCTGTACCGAGCACCGGCAGAAGCCGGGTTGTTGCCAGAGGTGCATCTGGCCCAGGGTGCCCCCAGGATTTCCAGGGAGGCCCCGACGGCTTCCAGAGCACCCCTCACGAGGCCCATGCATCGCCGCTACGACAGTGTGACCCGTTTCGTGGCTCCACCAAGACCTCACCGAGCGAAAGATCCATTGATGGGTAGGCCCGACGTGGCTACTGACCGCCAGAGCATGCACACAGCAACACGCATGAACACAACGCACATGATCACCTCAGTGGATGTGAGGCTAGGAAGCTTGTCTCTGGCTTGGGTTGCGATTTCTGCCTGGCTTATACGGATTCGCTTCCTGGTTTATCGTCCCGTTGCGTTCCCGGACTTCTGTGCCATCCTGAAAGATGGCCGAAGGGCGATAAATCTCCGCGATCCTTTCGCTGTCGCCCGTAACGCTAGCAAGTGCGATACATGGCCTTGCTACGTCTGTGGCTCGTTGTTGGCACACACATCGTGAGTAGACATCGCGCTGCTGCATCATTGGGTGAATATGGGTTCGTCCTTGTCACGTGGCGCATATGAGGTTTTACACGCAGCACAGCTTTGAGCCGAACAACGCCTGAACAACACCATGACTGCGAGCACTGGGACGCTTGTGGACAGTGCATCACCTGTGAGCACACTTTCCTATCAGCGTCACAAGAACACAGAACGCAAATGGTTCAATCAGTGCTGCACTGATGTTCCCAATTCAAGCCCAATCTCATCCATCCATCAATCCAACCATCCTCCATCTTACCCCCCACTTCTCCGCCAATGATCCGTTATTCATTGATATATCCACCCCTGCACCCCTCGTCCTTCACCCGTCCTTCATCCTCTCATCTTCCCATCACTCCTGATCTCTCGTATCGCCATCCCTCATACACTATCCGTCGATCCATCTATCCAACTATCCCTCCTTCTCTCATTCCTCCCTCCCTCCTCCCTCCCTCCCCCAATCCCGCCAGCCATTCACTCATCCCTCCTACCTCCTCCCTGCCATAGTCCGTGATCCCTCATCCCTCATTACCACGATTGTTGTGGATGTTATCCCGCAATCCTCCATCCTTCAATATATCATATTTCATCTTCCAATCCTCCCTCCATCCATGTTCTCACCATTCCTGTTGCATCCGCGCTGCTCCCTCATTTCTCCATCCCTCATCCCTCCTATCAATTCACCCACCTTTCTTTCTTCCTCCCTCCCGTCGACTTCCCCCCTCGTCATCATTTTCTCAACCCAGCCAGCCTTCCTCGTTCATCCCTCGTTCCTCCTTTCTCCGATTCCCCTCTCCTTCCATGCGCCCCCATTCTTTATTATGTTGGGCGTCCTCCTCGTCCTCCACCTTTTCCTCCTCCTCTTTCCTCTTTCTCCTCCTCCTCCTCCTCCGTTTCTGGCTCCTCCTCCTCCTCCTTGCGAAGATCAGCGAAAACATCCGTAGCTCAGTCTTGGATTGCATACTGCGGCACTTCCCTCATCAAGACGACTTGACCGGGGGTCGTTTCTGGATTGGTCGGTGGGCACACGAAGCGTCGCACATGTCAGGCCGGGAGCACACTGGGTGCCCGCATGCCTACGGGGCGGGTACTTCAAGGAAACGCCCAAACCGCCGTACCAACACGTTTGGTGGTGCGTTGGAGAATCTTTACTTCAAAGGGCGAGACCACCAGAAGTCTTTAAAGACCCCCCGGGGATTTTCAAGGCTGCGGTACTACCTTCACGGCTTCACGGGCCGCGCCACGCGTAGCGCTAAGCGCAGTGATCCTCACGCCCGCGCGCCGCAGTTTAAGAGAAGGATCAATTTTCACCTCAGATTACGAAAGGCGGCTCGGAAACAGCTTCTCGCCCCCGCGGGCGACCTGCAGCGCAGAACGGATACGTGATACGTGCCGCAGAGGACGTCGGGCTTCCATCGACTTGTGACATGACTTGTGATTCAGACGTAGTACTGGGCCCAATCGCCATTCCGACCTCGAGCCGAACAGGTTTCGACTTGCGATTCGGAAGAACTGGGCGGAATTCCAAGTACGATGTCGAACCATGCACGGCTTAATTGTTGATTTAGAAGTAGTCTTACGCGGAATCGCAATTTCAGTTTTGAAGCGAATAAGTGTCGCTTCCCGTTGTGGTGGAAGTCCTGGACGGAATCGCCAATCCGACGTCGAACCCGAAATGGTTCAAATTGAAATTTGGATGAAGTTCTGTGCGGAAGCGCCATGTCGACTTTGAACCGAATCGATTCCGATGTTGTGTTTTGGAGGAAGTGTTCGGCGGAATCGCCATTTCCACTGTTAACCGAATTGGTTTCGATTCTTGGAGGGAAGATTCGACGGAATCGCCATTCCGATTCCAAACTTGAAATTTCGACGGAAGTGTTTTTCTCGAGAAAGTCTCAGGCGGAATTGGCGTTCCGACTCGGGCAACCTGCTTGGCACTCAAATTCGTTAATTTGGTAACCCGGACATCGGAAATTTGATTTTTGTTCTGGATCATCGCGGTAAAAAGATGCTTCGCCCGAAGTAGAAATTTTCGTGCTCGAATTCGAAATAACGATTACGCCGAATACTTCCTCCAAGGACGGTGTCCGACCGAAATCAACACTTCTCGGCCCGATGCCCAAACTGCGTCAACATGTTTCGCTACACGAGGCAACGAGCCTTGGGAACGGTGCACTGGGGCCCCGTCGCCCAACGGGCGTCTTTCGAAACGTCCCCCATGGACCACATTGTGTTGGGGCCCCACCGCCTAACGGGGAGAGTCGATTTTTGGCCGAAACTTCGCAGTGGCGGAGTATGGCCACAGAGGCTTCGCAATGGAGCGAGAAAGTTGGAACTCCTCGGGCCAAGGACACCTGTAGCAGCCTCCGACGAAGGTGAGCGGGCGACTGAGGGAACGCGTAACAAGCCATTGGCTCGAGGCGCGCGCCAGGGCTGCGGGTTGGCCCAGAGGCGGCGGCCATGCAGCGGAAGACGGGCCTTGCCGTGTCGGGCCGATGGCGGCTGACACGCTGGTCTCCGAGTGTTCGGGCTCTGCGGGGCCAGGTTAAAGGGGCAACCTACGCACCTGGAGGGAAGAAGGAGGACGAGGAGGAGGAGGAGTCGGGCGGTACCAGGACTGGGATAAGTCGTTCCAGAGTATTCTGGAGCGCTCTCAGAGCGTTCCGTAGCGCTCTGGGACGGCCGCGGTGCCCGCTACTCCTGAGCCGCCGGGTCTCAGAGATCCCCGATGTGTCCTTGTCCTCGGCATCGCTCGGACGTGTGCATTTTTCCTTCGGCGAGGACCATCGACGAGCATCCTTGATCATCTGGCGAAAAAACCACGCACGAAACCGAAAAAAGCAGACGGAATGGACGCCCGAGCGATGGCGAGTGTCCGATGCTGTCCCCGTCCTGGCGTCGTTTTTTACAGGGGTTGGAGCAATAGGAGGGCGGAAGCGCACCCGAGCACCTGGTGAGCTTCGGACCTCCGCGGGCCCCTGAAGAGGTTATGGGCGTGCGGGCGCCGGCCTCAACGCGGGCGATCCCCAGTATCAGTGAGAGGGCGGAAGCGCACACGAGCACCGGTGAGCCTCGGACCTCCGCGGACCCCTGGAAGAGGTTACGGTCGTGCGGGCGCCGGCCTTCTAACGCGGGCGATCCCCAGTGTCTCCGGGCTGCCGTGGCCGGCGTTCCTGGGGGACGGTTTGGCTCCTCGCTCCTCCTCCTCCTCCTCCTCCTCCTCCTCCTCCTCCTCCCTTCTCCTCCTCCTCCTCCTCCTCCTCCTCGGCCGTGGCGAGCGCCGCCGATTGCGAAGACACACGTGTGAGGTTACAGTGTGCGTGTGTGCAGATGTAAGAAAAAGGGAGGGGGCTCCCGCCCGAGACGTTCTCACAGTTCACTCACAGACGAAGCTCCCGCTCGAGACTTCTCAATACTCGGGCCAGAAAAGCCGAAAAGAGACGACAGTTACAGAGTTCCGATGACCCGCTCGGATTGCCAACATGAAGTGCGGACCCCAAAGGGAGGGGGCTCCCGCCTAAGACTTTCTCACAACTCACTCACAGACGAAGCTCCCGCTCGAGACTTCTCAATACTCAGGCCAGAAAGCCGAAAAGAGACGCCAGTTACAGAGTTCCGATGACCCGCTCGGATTGCCAACATGAAGTGCGGACCCCATAGGGAAGGGGCTCCCGCCTAAGACTTCCTCACAATTCACTCACACATGAAGCTCCCGCTCGAGACTTCTGGAATACTCAGCCCAGAAAAGCCGCAAAGTGATGATAGTTACTGAGTTCCGATGGCCGTTCGGATTGCCCACGTGAAGTGCGGGCCCCGCTCGAGATGTCCTCGCGATTCACAAACAGAGCTCCCGCTTGATATTTCCTCCATATTCAGTGACGACAGATGCAGGATCCCGATGACCCGCTCGGATTGCCAACATGAAGTGCGGACTCCATAGGGAGGGGGCTCCCGCCTGAGACTTTCTCACAATTCGCAGGCGAAGCTTCCGCTCGAGACTTTTCAATACCCAGGTCAGAAAAGCCCAAAAGTGACGACAGATGCAGGATCCCGATGACCCGCTCGGATTACCAACATGAAATGCGGACCCCATGGGAAGGGGACTCCCGCCTGAGACTTCGTCACAATTCGCTCACAGACGAAGCTCCCGCTCGAGGCTTCTTCCATACTCAGTCCAGAAGAGCCAGAAAGTGCTGACAGTTACACGGTGCCAATTACCCGCTCGGATTACCAACACGAAATGCGGGCCCCACAGGGAGGGGGCTCCCGCTCGAGCCGTCCTTGCGATTCACTCACAGACGAGACCCTTCTTGATCGATGATCATGATGGGATGGCGATGGTGATGACGATGGTGTTGTGCGCGGGTGATGATGACGACGATGATGCTGATGCGCGATGATCATGGTGGGATCATGACATCATGGTGATGAGTGAATGATGGGAGAACGTGACTGAATGAGAGAGTGAGTGGATGATGATGAGTGAGGATGTAGTGGGCTGACAGATGATGCTTGTGATGAGGATGATAACGATGACGATGATGGTGCTGACGATGATGATGATGATGATGATGATGATGATGATGATGATGATGATGATGATGATGATGATGATGATGATGATGATGATGATGATGATGATGATGATGCTGATGCTGATGCTGATGCTGATGCTGATGCTGATGCTGATGCTGATGCTGATGCTGATGCTGATGCTGATGATGATCGCGCTCTCCGAAAGTGAGCCGTCGCCGTATCGCGAACGCTCACCGCCTGCTGCACTACTGGCGTGCATAAAAGCCGCGCCTCCCAAGGCGCTGCACACTGCGAGGACACAAACAATTGCTCCCACACCTCGGGCCGTGATATGAACAGTGCCACACATGCAAGGGGTATGGAAAAGGGGGCGTGGCGCGCGCCACGCGGCTGCCTAGTGATGACGAGCCCACAGCGCGCTGCCAGGCCCAGCGCCCACTCATCCGAGGCGCCTGCTGCTCATGCCTCGGCCCTCCGCCAGGACGTATTGCCGCCACGCGAAAGAGTTCACTTCCTGGATCTCGTGGCGCTCCAGCTCGGCCTCCTCTGCGATGAAGCCGTTGTCCACGTCGCCCAATATCGTCTGCGCCTCCCTGAACATGCTCTCTAGCCGCTCGATACACGTCAAGATCATGCCCTGCCCGTTGGCGAAGTCGCCCTCCATGATGGCCGTGAGGTCTTCTCGCACGGCCTCCAGGCGCTCCCAGCAGTCCTCGACGCATGTGGATAGGGGAGGCGGCGTTGCGGATGCAGCGTCGCTGCACGCCGCCCCCGCCGCCGCGGTCAACCCGTCCACGCTCTCGTTCTCCTTGTACTCCTCGGTGTCGCTCTCAGGGTCTGGCGGGCCAGTGCCATCGACGCTGGACACGTCCTCGTATGATGATGCTGATGATGCTGATGCTCATGCTCATGCTGATGATGATGATGATGATGATGATGATGATGATGATGATGATGGTGGTGATGGTGATGGTGATGGTGATGGTGATGGTGATGGTGATGGTGATGGTGATGATGCTGATGCTGATGCTGATGCTGATGCTGATAACGATAACGATAACGATGATTAGGTGTGTGAGTGCGTGAGGAGGAAGGAGAGGGGGTGAGGAGGAGGAGGAGGAGGAGGAGGAGGAGGACTGCGCGGGGTGGCCAGAGAAAACAAGAACCCCACTTAAGCTGTGGGGAACAAGAGGTCTCCCCTCGCGTGTGTGCGCTTCTGACCCCTCACGTGAGGAGGGGAGGGCGGGTCGGGCATTTGTGCCTGCCACCGGCCCGCCAGGCTCCCTGCCCGGGTCTTGCCCCGCCAGCCGCGTGGAGGTGCCGTGGGATGAGTGGGCCGTTGTCCACCTCGCGTGGCCCGTGGCGGCTCAGGCCAGTGGGACGCTCGGTACGGCCGCTGGGAGACGTTTTTCCCAACCATCCTGTGGTGTTGGGTCTTCGTTTTGAAGAAACAGCGCCCCGCGTCCCTCCCACCTCCTCCTCATCCTCCTTTCGCTCCCTCCTCCCTCCTCCCATCATCTTCGCCATTATCATCATCATCATGATCATCATCATCATCATCATCATCATCATCATCATCATCATCATCATCATCATCACCATCACCATCACCATCACCATTACCATCACCATCATCATCATCATCATCATCATCATCATCATCATCATCACCACCAACAGCAACATCAGCATCATCACCATCACCATCACTATCACCATCACTATAATCACCACCACCAACAGCAACATCAGCACCAACATCATCATCATTGCCGTCAAGATCGCCATAACCGTCATCATCGTCATCATCATCATCAGCATAATCATTATTATCACCATCATTCGTATTACCAGTATCATGATCACCATCACTGGCATAACCATTAACATCATCACCATCACAACTATTATCATTATTATCCCTACCAGCATCATCATCGTCGGCATCATACTCATCATCCGCATCATCACCCCCATCATCAGCAGCATCATCATCGTTGTCGTCATCATCGCCGTCATCACCAACATTACCGACACAGGCTTCGGCACATCCCTCACACGCTTCGTGGCCCCATCGGGAGCTTCACCGAAGGCCCCAGCGCCCGCATGCGGTTCCACCTTCAATTTCGGTGCACGCCTCACACGCATCGTGGCCCCATAGGGAGCTCCACCGATGGCCGCGCCCGCATGTAGTTCCACCCTCCAGTTCGGCGAACCCCTTCACACGTTTTCGTGTCCTTACCGGGTGCTCCTCCGAAGGATCCGGAGGCAGCCAGCGCCCGCACGCGGTTCTACCTTTCCTGTCGGCGAACCCCTCACACGTTGCCTTGCCTCATAGGGAGCTCCACCGAAGGCCCCAGTGGCAGCGTCCGCATACAGCTCCAGCCCCATTCCAGCACAACCTTTACAGGTTTCGTGTCCTCACAGGGAGCTCCACCGAAGGCTCCAGTGGCAGCGCCCGCATGCGGTTCCACTCTCCATTGGGGTGCACCGCTCACACGCTTCGTGTCCCCATAGGGAGCTCCACCGAAGGCCCCAGAAGCTCCTGTTGCTGGCCACCCCTCCTCCATTTCATTTTCCACCCTCCATTTCGGTGAATCCCTCACACGCTTCGTGGCCCCATAGAGAGCTCCACCGAATGCCCCAGTGGCAGCGCCCGCATGCTGTTCCACCCTCCGTTTCGGCGGACCCCTCACACGTTTTCGTGGCCCCATATGGTGCTCCGCAGAAGGCCCCAGTGGCAGCGCCAGCATGCTGTTCCACCTTCCATTTCGGTTCACCGCTCACACGTTGCGTTGCCCCATAGGGAGCTCCACCGAAGGCAGCGCCCGCATACTTACAGCTTCGACCCATTCCGGCACACCCTTCACAGGTTTCGTGGCCTCACAGGGAGCTCAACCGAAGGCCCCAGCGCCAAGCGCGCGCATGCGGTTCCACTCCAATGTCGGTGCACCCCATCAGACGTTTCGTGGCCCATAGGGAGCTCCACCGAAGGCCCCAGTGGCAGCGCCAGCATGCGCTTCCACCATCCATGTCGGCGAAGCCTTCACACGCTTCGTGGCCCCATAGGGTGCTCCACCGAAGTCCCCAGTGGCAGCGCCCGCATGCGGCTCCATCCCCATATCGGTGAACACC